CAGCCCAGCCGCGCCTCCCAGCCGTCGGCGTCCGGGCGCCGGGTCCCCGGAGCACGCAGAGCTAGTGCGGGGCTTAAATGCGAAGCCGTGGATCCGAGGGCTTCCGAGGGGAACTCTCGTCGCATCCCGGAGGACAGGGTCGCTCCTCCTCACCCCTCCGCGGCGAGACCCTGCAGGATGTGGGGATGTAGTGCGGGAGAACCAAAGGGTCTTCCCTGTGCACGGCCAGCGGAGTCGGCGACCCCTCCCCCGGCAGTCGATCGCGCAAAGCTCCCACTGCCACCACGCCAGGGTCTCTGTCTCCAGCGAGGGCGCTCAGACCTCCGCACACGGGAGGAAATCCGGCGCCGAGGGCCGGAGATCAGGGACAGAAGCCTCTCCACAAACGCGCGCGCTCCCCCACCCAGGAGCCCTCTCCGACGGCTTGCCTGGAATTATAATAATTACGGCGAGGGGAAGGGGGGACGCATCCACCCGCAGTACATCTAATCCGATAATAATTTTTCTCTTCGAGATGGTTTAGGAGAGGAGCCGCGGAGCCCGGACTGGGGAGGGAGGGAGGGCGTGAGGCCCTGGAGAGGCTGCGGGGCGGCGGAGAAGCGCCTGGGACCCCAGGCGCCCCGCGTCCCCGCAGCCTCCCCAGCGTCCTGGCGGTGGGCGCGCCCTGGGGCGCGGGGACACCGACGCGCGTAGAGCTCGTCTCGGGCCGCAGGGCAGCGTCCGAGGAGCCCCGCGGGCTTCGCTCCTGACCTGGCTTCTAATTAGACCCCGCTGCTGCCTTGCATTCGGGGCCACAGGACCCTCCCGCGCCTGCTCCCACCCTCCCCCTTGAAGAGCCTTTCGGCCGGCTTCGAGCTACCCGCGCCCTGAGACCTTTGACCCAGGAGTGCGAGGGGGTCTCTGGCCTATCCCACCCACCCCAGTACACGTGTAGCGCCCTTGGCATGGGCTGTTCCTCCCGGAAAGGTCCCTCTTTGGGTGAGCGGTGCAGTAATGAGGCCTCTGGACCCCCTCCCCCAGGCGTCTGCGGCGCCTTGGCCCTGGAAGACAGGGAACGCGGTGGAAGCCACCGGGTCCCGAAGGGCAGCTGCAGGGCCACGGCCCCCTCCACTCTTGCAGTGTTCTGGGTGGGTTCTCACGCCGCTTCCTGAGAAGGGGTCCAGGTCCAGAGAGATGCGCTCCCCAGGGACAGGATCAAGGCTGCGGGTGCCCAGGAGGGCCGGGTGGAGATGCAGCCATCCCGAGGGTGTTTGGGCCCACCAGTGGAGGAGGCGTGAAGGCGACACGGGTGTCGCGTGGCACTGAAATCGCTGCTGTCCTCCCTTCATCTCCACCTTCCACCTGGCCACACATTCAGGCGTCTCTCTTCTCCTGCCCACTCCTCCCATAGAGAGCACACAGACCTGGAGGGGATGCGCTGGCCACTGGGAGGGCAGAGCCCAGCCCTCTGGGGACCCTCCCGAAACTTCAGCCTCCTCCCTCGGTTCCCCTCCTCCCTCACCCAGCTCCCACCCCATTCCGCATATGAAAGCGAAAGTGACTGCGGGAACCTCCTCACCTGGGAGGCAAAGCCAGGAAGCAGCCCCAACTGGAGCAATTAGGCTTTGAAGCTGCTGTGGCTCTTGGGGCGAGGGAGGGGAGAAGATGTTGCCGCCCACCACGGCCCCCACCAGCCTCAGAGAGGATGCTTCTGCACCCGCGGCCTGAGGCCTGGCAGGGGGCAGTCCCCAGGAAGCAGCAGTGCAGCAGACCTGGTTGGTCCATCGCTGAGCAGACGTCCAGGACCGCCCTTGCTGGCTCCTTAGTGACAGGAGCCTAGACCAGGGGTTCCCAGCTTGCTCCTGCCCCACCCCAACTGCACTTCTGGGAGGTGCAGCCTGGTCTCCCTCCACTGTCCTGGTCCTGTTCCCTCCGAGGAACTGAGGACAGACGGGGGCTCTGTGGGAGCTGGGAGTGTACCTGGGTGCACTCTGGCCCTCTCTCCTTCCTCCCTTCTCCCCAGGTGAGGCCTAGAGGTCTCCCCTCTTCGCTGGGGCTGAGCCCCTCTGGGGCAGGCCTCGACTTTATTGACTTATTAGCTCCCCCGCACCTCTTCTTTTCCCCTCTCACTTCCCTCCCTGAACCGGGGCTCGTCACTCACCGACAGCCCCGCATGCCCCACCCCTCCGTAGGCCAGGCCCTCCCAGGAGCCTGGGCCAGCAGCAGCCTCGTGCAGCTCCAGCTCCTCACGGCAGTTTGTTGTCAGGTGCTCATCAGGGTCTGTGGGACTCAGGCTGGAAGGGGAGGGTGTAGAGAGGTGACTGTGACCTGGGGAGGTGGCCCGGGATAATGGGCACATTGGGACAGCAGGTGGGCTACGGCAGGGAACAGATGAGGATAAGAGGGCAGGTGGCAGCAGGAGCCCAGGGCCAGCTGAGCCAGGCATCTGGGCCTCCGGGACAGACGGGCAGGGCCCCCTTTCTCCTTCTGAACTGTCCCCAGTGTGATCAGCACCCCAAAGCCTGTCGGCCCGCCCTCCTCTCCTTCCTTCTGCCCATATCTGCCTCTGTCCCCCAGGTCCCTCTCTATTTCTCTGTCATTGTCTTTGTTCTCTGTCTCTCCCTGTCCTCAGTCAGTTTCCTTCTGTACCCTGAGGCCACCAAGCTCAGTAACCAGCACCTAAAACCTGCAGGACCAAGGGAACCAAGGTACCAGGCCACCCTGCTGGTCTTCACTGGCACCGGGCTGGCCCTGGCCATACAGACCAGCAACAGTCAGAATTCACAGGGAGCCATCAGAGGTGGCTGCCAGAGTCATGGGCTGGCACCCCTGTTCTCACTTTCACTGGTTTCTTTCTCACCCTATAACCAGGCACTGGTGGATGATGGGTGCAGTGCACAAGCTTGGGGACATTTACGGCTGGTGGCCCCTTCATCTACCAGCTCCAGTCACAGACCTCAGCCTAGGGGACAGCTCAGCATGGCCTAGGGAGTAAGTGGGACTCAGGTTTGCCACTCCCACCAGTGGTTTCCCGCTGCAGAGCCCATCCGCCATCTGAGGAAGGTGACTGTAGCACATGAGCCAGTGTATGTGCATTCCCAGGATGAGTCCAAAGTGACAGCAGCCAAGTCCTTCCTGGACCTGCTGAGCACTCCCCAGGGCTCTGCTGTGGCCCAGAGTCTGGAGGGGTGAAGGGAAAGGGCTGCCTTCGAGAAGCTTCAGGGACCTGGTGGGACCTTAGCTTGGTCTGGAGGAGCTGGGTGCAGGCTGCAGTGAGTGCGTGGGGAGGCAGCTTCCCCAGGTCAGGAGATAGGCCAGTAATGGTGCTTGGGAGGCCATGAGCTGCAGAAACTGAGACCGACCAAGGGTGCTGGCCATGCGTGGAGCTCTGGCCCTGCCCACAGAGCGCCACAGGATGCAGCTGGGGGACAGTGGCTGTACCGAGGTCCGGGACTGAACCCCAGAAAGGTGTGCCCTTGTCCCAGAGCAGTTGGCCTGGCTCTGCTGTGCTGGCCCTGACCCTGAGCAGGGTTGACTGCGGGGCCACACACAGCCGTGGCCATTGCGATCCTTCTTGGCCCTGCCCTGCCTGCTTCGACCGTCTGTGGGGGCAGAGGGATGGGTGAATGGACAGGGGCGGATCGCATGCTGTGAGACCCGGAAGCAGCAAGGCCTGGCCAGGACAGGCCACTTTTCACACCGCCACCCCGCCACCCTTGGTCTCCCTCCCCAGCTCCCCAGGTGACTCCCTGGAGGTGCACGCATTGCTTCCACATTCCTTCCTCTGAACGTGCTGCTGCCGCTGAGGTCCAGGACGCTGCAAATCCATGGCCGCCGGCGTGGCAGCCTCCCCGCCTGCCGGGACTCGCTCAAAGTATGTGTCAGTAATCCTACTCAGTCCGGCCCCTCTGGGGAGGAGAAGCCCAGCCTGGGGCTCAGTAGATATCTCCGGCAGCCCATATCAGGGAGGCCCGTGCTGGGCTCAGTTCTGGGGATGGGAGCTGCATCCTTCCTTCTGTGGGGAGCCCTGAGCTCAGGGACAGCAGCTCAGAACTGGCCCGGGGCTGCCTGAGCCAGACCCCCCACCCCCTGGTCTGGGCACAGCCACATCCCCACCTTCCTGGATCCAAATGCTTACTGTGCCAGGCTCCGTGCCAGCCAGGACAAGAGAGGGCGGGTGAGGCACCTCTGCCCGCTCAGAGGGAGGAGGTGTCAAGTGCTGGGGCTGGGGAGCACTATGTCCCTAGAGCCAGTGGCCCCAGGAGACTAGGAGGGCCCACCTGTTCAGCGTGCTCTCTGGTAGAGCCAGGTCTAATTGCTTCATTTACAGATGAGAAACTGAGGCCCAGAGGGAGAAGGATGTCACAGGGTCCCAGTGAATGAGCCCAAGTCTAGACTAGCTGAGAGCCACAGCCCAGTGCTCTGCCGGACCCTCCCTGCCCAGGTCCTGTGCCTGCTCCTCAAGCACCTCAGGATCAGACAGGCACAGTGTACGGTCCTTGTACATGGGCTCCCCAGCATCTTGAGTTCCCCCAAAGAAAGACCTAGGAGCCTCCAGCCCCGCAGAGACACGTGGGGGAGCTGTACCTCTGGGACCCCAAAACCCACACAAGGCACAGTGAGGGCCGTGTGCCCAGCACCGCAGGCCCCTGGCTCTGCCCTGAGCCTCCATCCTTGCACAAACTGCTGACCTGTAGCCAGTGCCACCTCAGGGAGTGGGGTGACAGGAGGACCCATGGGGCCCAGCAGAAGCGGGGCCTCCGCCCGGTAGCCTGGGCTGGCTCCTTCCTCCTGCATGTCGCAGCCAGCAGCTGCTGTATCCCTGGCCAGGTGCCCAGCCTTTCAGCAGGATGGAGGGAGGAGGAGAAAGAAAACCATTAGTGTTTGCGGGGGGTGGGGGATTGTGGCTGTGGCTCACGCGGCTGTGGCCACAGGCCTTGCCATGAACCTGGAGATGGACGCTTTCCAGATGCCAGTGGCCTCCTCTTAAACTACAGCTGCTTAACAGCATTCGTGGCAGTTAAGGCAGAATGTGTCTGTGACCCCATCAGGGCCCATGTAGACTTCCAGGTATAGGCTGTTTTCTTTTCACACCCAGCTGTGAGCTGTTCCCAAGGATCAGAAATCTGAGTGCTGCCTTTGAGGCTTGCTGTGTTCTGCATCTCTGACCTTGGCCTCTGCCTCCCCACCTGGCCCCCCAGGGTGCTAACCTGCGTGCCTGGCCATCCCTCAGTGTGGAAGGGCCTGCAGAGCTGGACCCAGGGAAGGGCACTGGAGGGCAGGGAGCTGCACTCTGCTCTGGGCACTCCCGATCCAAGCATCTGGAGACAGCGCCATGTGACAGACACAGGACGGTTAGAACCCAAGCCGCTCAGCCAGGTGGCAGCTGAGCAAGGGGAATGCCCACGCCTGCTGGGACACTGTCTGCCACCAAGGGGCTGGCAGCCAGAGGAAAAAGGAATGAATTCCTCCTGGGGTGAATCACCACAGCCAGGTGTAGAGACATGGGTGCAGCAGGGGCGG